GAAATTTATTCTATACGTTATGTAGGTACTGCAAAATCTATAGGTAAGTATATAGTTTTAAATATAAAAATTTATAACGGAGACATATTTAATGTAGTTTTTTTTTACAAATATATACTCAGTGACTTGTTTTTGTGAATGAGTTCGAGTATGGCAGACGAAAATCGTTACTTTTTATTATGAATTAATTTGAATTTATTTAAAAATGGGAATATGATTTTCATAGTTTTTACACTTGTAATAAAAAAAATCAAAGTTATGTATATTAGCCACTTACTACACAATAGACAATACATATCACTATTTGACATTCTTATTAAACTCACTAATTTAAAATTGACTTTAAACTAAGTGACTACACACAGAATTGTTTTAAAGCAGCCATAAGGTATAATTTATTTATTGGATACTATAAAAAATGAATAGTAGTTACATGTAGAGTTAAGTAACAAGAAATTTAAAAACAAAAACAAAACAAACCTTTATATCTAGTGAAGTTTATTTAGTACAGACCTCAACTTTCTTAGGCTAACATTAAAGATATATATTTGGACCCCGCTAAGAAACTCATTGGTAACAGCCGTCATCTTGTTAAAAAGGGATATATTACTTGGATCTAAACTAAATAATTTTTTATTACTGGAATGATTAGATTATTCTTTGCCTCTTTAAAATTTATATAGTAAATCAAATCACAATCTTTGTACCAAACATTATTTAAAATAGAGAACAAAATATATGACAGCCTGATGCTTTCTTCTTTGTAAAAGAGATTTTATCATAAAACTATCGAGCATAGTTTTATATAAGATCTTATAAGGGTATGAGTATTTTTTATGACATAAAGTTACCGTAAAAATATTTCTTGTAATATGTGTGGCTTCCAAGGTCATCCATATTTTTGGAATATACCCAAGATGGAGTTTTCCTAAGACATTATATAATCTGATTTTAGTGGTAATCTTAAAACTTTTTGTATTTCTGATTTAGAAACCCAAAGCTTTTATTGATTTTTTAGTTATGAGTAAGAAATGGTTTTTAAACTTCAAATTAGACCCAAAGACAATTCCCAAATCCTTTACCTTATATTTACGATTTGATATGACATCACAGATCTTGTGTTTAAGGTAAAAAATTAGGAGGCTACGGATCCTTACAACTTAAAATATGCATGTTTGTAAGTGATAAATACACGGATAAAAAGTGACAATTTTTAATTACAAGATTATTTCAAAAGGGTATTATGTTAAAAAATTAAAATTTTGATCATATAAATAAGGCAATCATATCTAAAATATGCATATATTTTATAGTTTTAATTCCTTCCAGTTTCTAAACAAAAAAAAATCAAATGGCTTAAAATTTTGAAATATCATAATGAAAATAAATGCATTTTTCAACAGCACTATTCTTACTATAATCCTGAAATTTGAGCTCTTGAAGTCTTGTAAGATTTTTAAAATTTGCCAAAATTAGTGGCTAAAACGCCTCGTTAAGTGCTGCCTTCTGTTGTAACCCGACTGTTACTATCATATCGTACTTTTAGTCATAATTCGTTTCCTGCAATGATTTACAACAGTTTACACCAGAAGATAGCCTTAACGAGGCTTTTTAGCCACTAATTTTGGCGAATTTTAAAAAATCATTAACAAGGCATTAAGAGCCTAAATTTAGGGATTATATTAAGAATAGTGTTGTTGAAAAATAAATTTATTTTCATAATGATATTTCAAAATTTAAAGCCCTTTGATTTTTATCTCGGAAACTGGTAGAAATTAAAACTTTGAAATATTTTAGATAATTTATTTTGCCAAAATTTTATTTTTTAAAAAAAAATTACTTTTTAAGATATACTTGTCCGAAAATCATGAGAGGTGCTGTAATCTTTAATTGCAGATGTTTAATAGCAGCAAAAAGTGACAACTTATTAACTTTCGAGTGTGCTCGCCGACATTCATAAAATATCATCATCTAATTGTGGCCATTTCCAATGCCTTTTCCATATTATTCGAAGAAGAACCATGATTTAAAATCTTTAGAATGTAATTAGGAATGTGTATAAGGACAAGGACTGTAATGTCAAAAAATCCGGTTTAAAATAAGTTTTATTTTAGCATGGTTAGTTATTTATAATTTAATAATTTATTTACGGATTCCCAGTATACACATACTAAAAAAAAAATATAAAGGGTGTATCTTATAGTGGCATCAAAAGTTTTTTTTTAATAATTTGACAAACAGTAAATTTTTTGTAATAAATGTTTTTTTATATTTAAATTAGATCCATTACAATTTATTTGGTCACTTTTTGAAGATGACATCAGTCAAGTAACCACCTCCGGACGCCACACACAAATCGGCCCCTTTTTCCTTCGGCATTTTGCATTACTTTTTGGAGTGTTTCGGATTGAATGGCAGCGATTTTTTGGTGTATGTTGGTTTTAAGTTGTTGGAGAGTGGCTGGTTTATTGGCATAAACCTTTCCCTTCAGGTATCCCCACAAAAAAAAGTCAGGTGCAGTCAAATCTGGTGTATGAGCCGGCCAGTCGAAATCGCCGTATTTCGATATCAATCGATTCGGGAACATGGCACGCAATAAATTCATTGTTAGCCGGGCTGAATGGCATGTTGCGCCGTCTTGCTAGAACCAATAGTCGCCCATGTCATGTTCGTCCACCTCATTTGCCACAAAATCGCGTAACATGCCCCGATATTGCTCGCCATTGACTATTACCGTGGCGCCGTTATCGTCTTCGAAAAAGTACGGGCCGATGACCCTTTCAGCACAAACATTGCACCAAACAGTAAACAGTGACTTTGGGGGAATGCAACGGCTGTTCGAAGATCATTTGAGGATTTTCAATAACCCGAAAGCGGGTATTTTGGGTATTAACAATGCAACACAGCGTGAAATGTGCTTCATCGGTCATGATCAAACAGCTCCAAAAATCAGGTTGACCGGCAAGGATGTCCTGCATATTGCGACCGTATTGGATGCGACGCGGCCTATCAGTTGGCAATAATTATTGAGTGGTCTGCATTTTGTAAGGAAAGGCGCGCAAATTTACCCTTAAAAACCGCCACATGGACATGGAGGACATGCCAAACTGCTGAGCACGGTGTCGGACCAAAACTTGTTGACGCTCCGCGACGTCGGCACTTACGGCTGCTATTGCTTCCATACTTCGTCTGATACGCAGCTTATTTCGACGGACAGAGGTTGCCAAAGATCCTGTGGCATTAAATTTTGCATCCAACGTACGAATAGTCTTCGGGGTAGGCGCATTCTGGCCACGATACCTCGCTCTGAACGCGCGTTGAGTCAGCGTAACAGGAGTTTTTTTGAAAATAATTTTTTACAATTTCAGCACGTTGTTGTGATGTCGGTGGTTCATTTTAAAAATTGTATTGGACTGACGTTTCTAAAACTTTAACAAACATGGCAATCTGTCACCTGGTTCTCAAGTTATTTGAAAAAAACATCGGGCACCACTATAAGATACACCCAATATATAAAATTTATTACATTAGCAAGTATATTAAAAGTTAAAATTGACAAACTAGAGTGATAATTATAAATTTAAGTTTATAATCATAGGAAAACCATTTAAAAATAATTATAGAATATAATATAAATCAATAAAAAAAAATAATATAAAATTCATAAAAAATAAAAAAATTAGGGCATTTTTAAATAAACCTAGTTACGTCACTCCTTTAGTATACATGATGTCATCTATTGTTTTATTTTATTTTAAATAGAACATGTTCTTCTCTTAGTTCTTAAATTCCAAAATATAGCGATTATAAAAATGTATGTAATACCTACTTATATTCGAGAGTCACTGGTTTGTAAATTAGAGACAAATGTTATATCAGAAATTTTAAACCTAAAATTTTATTGAAATGAGTGGACTAATAAACATAATAGGTATTTCTTAATATTGTTTTCTTTTTTTACATGTATTGGTTTGGTTTACAATACTAATTCAAACAATAAATACTGTATAAGAAAAAATTAGAAACCGTCTTGGTTATTGCCAGGAAAACGGCATGCACTTTGAACATTCAATTTCTAAATGTATTGTTAGTTATTTAAACCAATAAAAATTACAAATTTATGAGTTTAGTCCTTTCAATAAAACTTTAGATTCAAAATTTCTGATATAAGATTTGTCTCTGATTCACACACCCATGTTTTTGGACTATAAGTATTGCATAAATTTTTATAATTGTCCATTATTCGAGAATTTAAAAATAAAAGAAAAATAAATTGTTCTATTAAAAAAAAAATTGTTAACGTCATGTTCTCGAAACTGGTGATGTAATTAGTACTTCTAATTCTTACTTAAGATGCGCGTTATTTAACAAGAAAAATTTACTTGTGAAAACATTTTGTTAAAAAAGTGTTAGACAGAAACATTTTTAATTTATTCCAACCTATACGTCCTCACTGTATATTAGTATAATATTTATCTCAAAATTAAATACCCCAGATTCAATATACGTGCTAGCACTGCTTCATATTTTTAGGGTTTCGTACCCGAAATGTAACCAACGGGACCCTATTACTAAGCCTCGGCTGTCCGTCCGTCTGTCTGTCCGCGGGCTGTATCTCATGATCCGTTATAAGTTGACAGATGAAATTTTCCCAGGCTGTGTTATAATAGCAAATAATAAAAATAAATTAAAAATTAAAGGGGATTTCCCTACTAGAAACGTGTTTTTTTTAGCTTTTTTTGGATCTTTTAGGCATTTTTTGGCATTTTTTGGCTTTTTTTGGCATTTTTAGCTTTGTTTGCTCCATCTAAATACAGCATTTAAAAAGTACCTACATAGTATTAAATCTTGTACGATTGTGCGGAACCCTTCATGTGCAAGTCCGACTCGCACTTGGCTGGTTTTTTAAATTTCATTCTTCAATTTTTTTTATTAAAAAACTTAGTAATCTATACATCTATTAATTATGTTGTTTACCTCTGCTTGTAATCTTCTTTCAGGTTGTGGTTCAAACTACTGATAACTTTCTCCTTCTTAAGCATAACAATGGCCAATACAAGAATGTGCAAATGTTGGGATGGATACAGAGTTGACTTTGGTAAAAACGGTCCGCAATGTGTAGCCATGAATCAGTATCATATAATGCCATGCAACATGATCAAATCTCCAAAATGTAAATGTTCCGGAGTTGTAAGCAACATTTTAAAGGATCGAACAGGTACCTAGTTCATTATGATTTTATTAATATTTTTGTATAATGAGAATAAATAATACAAATTCTAATAATAACATTAATATTATCAATATCAATATTTTTCAAAAATATATGAAGTTAAACACAATTTTCTCGTGCTATTTTCTAGGTTTGTAAAGCACTTTTGTAATTAGGTAAATAAATAATAAAAATAATAGAGAAATATTAATTTTTAAATAAAACCTAAATAATCTAGTCTTACCTTTATCAAACATGCATATTATTTTATTTAGCGATGAGTCAAGCATGTTATTGCTGTCCTTGAAATTTCGCATGTAGTAGAATTTTTTTTTTCGATAAATCAAAGAACAAATGCAACTGTTTAGTGACTCTGTTTTTTGAGATTGAGATTTTGAGATTTTAAGATTTTGAGATTTTGAGATTTTGAGATTTTGAGATTTTGAGATTTTGAGATTTTGAGATGTTGAGATGTTGAGATTTTGAGATTTTGAGATTTTGAGATTTTGAGATTTTGAGATTTTGAGATTTTGAGATTTTGAGATTTTGAGATTTTGAGATTTTGAGATTTTGAGATTTTGAGATTTTGAGATTTTGAGATTTTGAGATTTTGAGATTTTGAGATTTTGAGATTTTGAGATTTTGAGATTTTGAGATTTTGAGATTTTGAGATTTTGAGATTTTAAGATTTTGAGATTTTGAGATTTTGAGATTTTGAGATTTTGAGATTTTGAGATTTTGAGATTTTGAGATTTTGAAAATTCGAAATTTTGAGATTTTAGGATTCTGAGATTTTGAGATTTTGAGAATTTGAGTATTTGAGATTTTGAGATTTTGAGATTTTGATTTTGAGATTTTGATTTTGAGATTTTGATTTTGAGATTTTGATTTTGAGATTTTGATTTTGAGATTTTGAGATTTTGAGATTTTGAGATTTTGAGAATGTGAGTATTTGAGATTTTGAGATTTTGAGATTTTGAGATTTTGAGATTTTGAGATTTTGAGATTTTGAGATTTTGAGATTTTGATATTTTGAGATTTTGAGATTTTGAGATTTTGAGATTTTGAGATTTTGAGATTTTAAGATTTTGAGATTTGGAGACTATGATTTTGAGATTTTCAAATTTGGAGATTTTAAAATTTTGAGATTTTAAGAGTTTGTTATTAAATTAAAATTTTTGCTACCCTTAAATATCCATGCATTTACTATATTTATTATTTTATGCTTATAATACGTTTTAGGTACATGGTGCACAAGATACAATAGAGGCAAAGAACTGAAGAGATGGCCTTGCGAAAATATTGAGGAATGGGATGATTTTTTTAGAAAACATCCAGATTTTATTTAGAAATATATCTCGGGAACAGTAGCTACATATCTATCTTCAGTATAAACGTTCATTATTTATTATTTAACTATATTTTATTATTTCTAATAAATATTTATATACAACGTTTTAATGTCATTTTTATTTATCCCTATTTTCTTGTTTTTCATGTAGGTTTATTTCAAAATCATTATAGTTATTTTCCTAACAAGTGCGGAAAGTGTTACTTTCCCGCACGCGACTGCAGTTGGCAAGCGGTCAAGTGCGCGAAAGACACATTACGCATGAGTTAGAAACATTATTTTTTCTACGACCGTATATACAAAAAAGTAGGAAAAATTATTTTTGGAAAATTATTTTATTTCAACATATACAAATCTTTAAATAAAAACAACTAATTATTATAAATACAGAATTTGTAGCATTTTGTAAATTATGTAAAATTGCCGGTACAGAGGAATTTGTTGGTGTTAATTGGTATATAAAAATATCTCTATTATTCAAGTTTTCCAAAAAATTAAAATTATAACAAAAAGCAAGAAAAAAAGTAAATTTTATTAAATGGAATAGTTGGAAAATACTAAATTACCTATTGTAACAATAGTTATAACATCCGAGGTAAAAAAACTATACAATAGGTAAGGCCAAATATTCATAATTTTACTTTCCCGCACTAGTGCGGGAAAGTGATTTTTTCCCGCACTAGTGCGGGAAAGTGACACTTTCAAAACTAAAATGCGTGCGGGAAAGTGGGTAAAAATACATGGTCGTAGAAAAAATAATTACAACAAAGAAAAATCAACGTACATTCAACTGTTATGTGTTGTTTTTTCAGTTTATCGGTGAAATATTACTTTTGGAATATAGTCAAAGTATGAAATTTCAAAAACCTCTGTTTTTTAATTGCTTTCTTATTTGTAAATTTAACTTTTTTTATTTTTAAGTTTTTTCTGTTTTTTTATTGTTTTTTGTATTTTTTGTAATTTTTTTATTGTTTTTTGTTTTCTATTGCTTTTTATTGTTTTTTATTGTTTCGTATTGTTTTTTATTGCTTTTATTGTTTTTAATTGTTTTTAATTGTTTGTTACTAATTGTTTTTAATTGTTTTTAATTGTTTTTAATTGTTTTTAATTGTTTTTAATTGTTTTTAATTGTTTTTAATTGTTTTTAATTGTTTTTAATTGTTTTTAATTGTTTTTAATTGTTTTTAATTGTTTTTAATTGTTTTTAATTTTTTTTATTGTTTCTTATTGTTTTTTTTTTATTATTTTTCCTTGTTTTATTATTGTTTTTTTATTGTTATTGTTTTTTATTGTTTTTATTGTTTTTTATTGTTTTTTTATTGTTTTTTATTGTTTTTTATTGTTTTTTATTTTTTTTTATTGTTTTTTATTGTTTTTTATTGTTTTTTATTGTTTTTTATTGTTTTTTATTGTTTTTTATTGTTTTTTATTGTTTTTTATTGTTTTATATTGTTTTTTATTGTTTTTTATTGTATTTTATTGTTTTTTATTGTTTTTTATTGTTTTTCTATTGTTTTTTTATTATTTTTTGATCTTATTTTTACAATATCCAAATAGGTATAACAACTAAAATTAAAACAAAAGAAAAAAAACAAAATATAGGATACATATTGACAACAAAAAAAAAAAACTTCGAAGCGAGATGAAACAAAAAATAAAGTGTTGTTCTTTTAACCCTTTACACAATATATATTAAAATATTTGATAAAAGTTAGCATATTATAACAAAAAAGAAGGCTCATATATACTCATCGGTACGAAAAAGATAGCACTTGCACATTTTAGATATAAAACAGAAATAGATTTTTTTTGATGTTTTATGGTTATAATAATTTACACACAACAAAACAACATTTTTTAATTATTTTTTTTTTATTTTTATAAAAATCAATCGTTTATTAGAAAAAAAACTGAATTTCAATAAAAATTCACCAAAATAAAAATTGCATAATTTTATATTACTTGAAATTGCATAGTTGACCACGGGTTTTTAATGTTTTGAAAAATTTAAGAGGTATTTTGAAGTTTTGCTACGTTCAGCAGGTCATTTAAAGTTGCACTGCATTTATTTGAGCTAAAAATTATGGCTATTAATCTTAAAACAGTAGTTTTCATGGTTGCGTTACTTTAAGATGGAAGAAGTGAGCGATATTGTCACGTTAAGTGGTTCGTTAGGCAAACCAATTAATCGTGGGGTACGCCACTGAGTATTTCGGATCGCCCAAACGATCTTCCAGTTGAGGAAGATCTTTGCGCCACCCGAAAATACTCACTGGAGAACCTTTCTTATGATTTATTACGCTTGGCTTGGCTTTACGCTACTTGGGAAGGAATAAAAGTCACTGCATAAAAAACTACAAATCTTTAATAAGTACAAACTAAAATCCCCTGAACTGTCCAGAAATCCCCAATATAATAATACACCCCAAATATACAATATATATACACTATAAAGACTTTAAAGAACCAACTAGATACTTTTCTCAGAAATACCTTTTTTATTTTATTTTATTTTATTTTATTAGATTTATAAAAAACCTTACCACATATTTTAACAGCAAGCTGGAATGTCACGACTTTATTTTTTATTTTTATTTTTATTGCTGTAATACAGCAGAGTATTACCTACTGCCGATTTTCGTCACAGCCGAAGAACTTATAGCCTCGGTTGTGCCAAAAATGTTGTTATTTTTTGTTTTGTCAATTTGGCTAGCTGACCCTAACATTGTTTTGAAATTGTAGAATCAGCATAACCGAATTGAGTGCATTGTTTATTTTCAACATAAAATAAAGTTTTTAATTACTAGACGAAAAGATTGTTATTGTTTTAAATAACTTTAAATGTAATATTAAACACAAATTGGAATTGAATGGAAATTAAAAAGATTGAAATAAAATTATATTTTTGGAAATGGCTTTATTAAAATTTAAGTTGAAATATATTTTTGGAAAGTACTTTATTTTATCTTTAATAAAAATCTAATTATTTTTAAATGCAATTCGTGACAATATGTTGCCCAAAAATATCTCATATCCAATAGTACAGTGCATCATATTTATACACAATTTTAAGAAACCGAGGAATGTTCTAGACGACCTTGAACTGGCTTGCAATAAAAAAGTTACGCCCATAATGATCGCTTTTTCATCTTACAAAGTCTGCGAGATCGTCATGCTACAGCTGTAGAAATCAGAAATCGATTACGTCATGCCCGGAATACCAACGCAAGCGAACGGAATGTTAAAAGAAAACTTGGAGAAGCCAATCTTGCTAGTCATAAACCTACAATAGGTTTCTTAACATGCATGGAGGGGCAGTTTGTTTACCGATAAGTCGAGATTTAGCCTGCGGCCTCCAAATGGTCAAGAGTGAGTATGACGACGACCACAAGATGGTTTTGAAGATTACTTTCAGTCCCAAGGCAGGCTACCAAAGAGGTTCAGTTATGGTGTGAACTGGATTTTCTCTGAAGGGATATACAGAGTTGTACATCGTTCCAGGAGGCTCCCTAACTGCTGTCAGGTACATTGATGAAATTCTGCAAAATTTTGTTGTCCCTTATGTCGATTTAATATTTTTATTCAAATATATGCTAATGCTAGGCCTCACACAACGAGAATTTCTCTTAGAACACTTGAACGACATAGACATTCCTGTCTTGGAGTGGTAACCCAATTAAACATGGGACAGGCTTGGGCGAAGAATACGAAGTCGTATTTCTTCTAGAGAAAAAAGGTACCTTATTCTTCATGAAGACATTCGCAATTTGATTTTATGCATGCGAAGAAGAAAACAAGCAATAATTCAAACATCCACTTATAAAAATGCTCCTTTTCAGCTTTTCCTTGCAATACGTTTCAGTTTTCACTACGTTTTCACTACGTTTTCACTACGTTTTCACTACGTTTTCACTTTGGCACAACGTCAATTTGTTTTTTTTTTAATGCAACAATGGAGTTTTTCTTTTCAAAAAACAGTTGATTGTTGTTAAGAATTACTTAAAACATGTTGTTTTTTTTTTGAGTGTAAGTTGTTATATCCATAAAACTTTAAAAAACAACACATTTATTTTTTTATATCTGAAATATGCAAGTGCTCCTTTTTTCATGCCGGTGAGTGTATAATGAAAGGAAAAATATATCTAAAATATACCATAATTTTGCTACAGTTGCATATATAAGTGAAGGCTGTATAAAAATATTGCAGCTTATTCTGGCCTAATATTGCTGTTTTGTAACGCTTTTGAACTTTAATATTGCAGAGTCTGTTTTATGTTGCTGTTTTGACTTTAGAGACCACTTTCGAGAGATATAAACACGAGGGCCCATTAACAATTTATTTATAAGTATCGACCACCGTCTGAGTCAGTGGTAGCACTCAAAGCATCACCTATTGTCATTTTAAATAATACAATATGGTTTAGGTCTTTAGGTAACATTTTTTACGTTCTTATTTAATATAGAGCAAATATAAGTATAAAAAAAAGAAGTGAGAAAGTTGGTCTAGATCCGAAAAATTAATGTAGATTTGGAAAATCTGAAAATAATTTTCCATACAAAATAATGAAAATTACACCCTCATATACCCAGAGTGAAAGCTAACAAAAGAAAAATTGTAGAAGCTAAGAAAAAATTCATGCAAGACCGTAAGTCGAACCTGGAACCTCGGACTTGAACCATCCGCGAGCTAACCAATTAGGCCAGCTCAGTACATACGACTTCGTAAACTTAAAGTAATCAGATTCAGTGGATTACAATGGTTTTTTTTACATAATAAAAAGTCACAACATGAAACTTTCTAAAATGTCAACTGTCAGCAATACAACTTTCTATATTATATATTGTAACGTTATACGAGTTGTATGTGACTAGCTTTATCCTGGGTGTTAAGCAACTAAAATAAATCACTATGTGCCTCAATATCGTAAGGGCTACATTTTCTCGAACTTCTTCTTCGAAGGCCTTAACTGTATCTGAGACTTACTTGGGAATTAAAACCTTTGAAAACTAAAGGGCTTACAATATTTTCTGAAAACAAATATACAAAATAATTTCCAACCAGACATAACAATAGATAATAAA